ACCATTAAGTATATTATAATTATATAATTATTCTTATACATATGAAAAAATATTTATACTCGAAAAGAAAAATAAGTGAAAATAAAAATAATCAAAGAAAAAATTATAGATCTAAAAAGAAATTGTCAATGAAGGTTCCAACAAGATAGAAAAAAACAACATGAAAAGAAGAAGAAACAATAAAAGAAATTATAAAAAATTATAAAGATGTAAATTATATAATATTTATATTTTCTTAATTTGCTATATCATATTTTATTTTTAAAATGTAATGAGAAGTTATGTACTAGATAAAATATAGATACATCAAAAAATATATCTATATTATATACTTAAAAGTTTACCTTGTCAAGTTGCTCTTTAGAATACACGTAATTAATAATGTCTATTAATATTACGGGCAATTTGATTTCTCTGTGAACAAATTGTTGGATTTATAATGAGTTTAAATAAACTTTTATAATTTAAATTATAATAAATTTAAACAAACTTTTATAATTTTATGCAATTCATGCAAAATATGTTTCTTACAAAAGATTATTACCTGGACATTACTTTTAAGTTTTGCAATATATAATCGAGTACTAAATTATTTCTTGCATGTTTTGCAATAATGGAATGCAAAACTGTAATACGATCTTTTTTAATAAAGTTTTCCGATAAGTTGATATAATTAAAAATAATTTGTACATCTTCACTGCACGCTAAAGATACTAAATGTTTCTTTCTAAATTTTGCTACAAGAAATAGTTTGTCCCAAATAATAGCGTTTGCTTTTTTTGTTCCTTCACAGAATGTCCATTCACTCCACCATGGATGAACACTAAATAATTTAATAAAATAATTATTAAAATAAGCTAAAAAAGCAACTTAGCGCTTATGGTCTTCTATTTTGACAATTTATTGTTCATTGAGCGATATTAGAACAACAATAATTGTGGAATATATTACCTCTCACATTCATGATATTTTTTACAATTTTCTGTTAATGCCAAAGTAGCATTATTCTTACATGTGTCTAAACCAAGTACACATGCCCATTTTGCAGCTTCATGTCTTAAATTTTTAATTAAATAAAGAGATGAATTTAATTCCTTGTATCCTAAACGATTTAGAAGAGATTCTAGAATTTGGTGAAAGTGTGCCTGAAAATAGACAAATATCATTATTACACTAGTATGTTATTTTGAAAAAGAAAAGTAATAAAGATAATGTATAATTTATTTATACATTATCTTTTTATATTTCAATTTTTATGTTTTATAGTAATAATAGAATTTTTATGTTTTATTATAATATTCAGAAAAAAACATTTTCTAAATTTTTAATTTTATTTTTCTAATAAGTTTTCAAAAATTTCTGTTTATTGTTGAAAGAAATATTTTAATATATTTCACATATCATAAAGTTAGATAAGATAAAACAATTTCTTACAATAGTACTTTTACATTTAGAAAATATTTATAAGAATTTTTTAATTGTAAATAATATTTATTACATATAATTGTGATGTGTGTGTGTGTGTGTGTGTGTGTGTGTGTGTGTGTGTGTGTGTGTGTGTGTGTGTGTGTGTGTGTGTGTGTGTGTGTGT